ATGAATAATATCAGCCCTCTTTGAATGAGTGTTTCTTTCACTACAAGGCTCCTCAAGAAGAAAAGAAAGAGGTTTTAGTTCACAAGACCAAAAGCTACACTTTTGTGTAATGAGTTTTTGCTTAAAAAGTGTCTTAATCAGTTGAACTCTCAATCTCTCTCTCACTAACCATAGCCACGGCCTCAAGGAAAGAGGAAGAAGAAACACCTTTGTGGGACCCTAAGAAAGAAAGAAATATGACTACTTGGTGTAGTGAATATCTTAGTAGTTACTTAACTTTAACATTTTCCAACTTTACACATTTGTTCAAATCCTATTAGTTCTTTAGCTTCCCACTTGGTTAGTCGTCTTTTCATACAACATTCTAGAACTATTAGTCACTAAGGAACAACTTCACTTTGAAGAAAGATGACTAGGATTGCTTATTTGTCCACACGACACCTTTTGAACATTCAAACTTATCATTCATTTGTTCATTTGTTCAAGACTAGTCAAACTTAATTCTAATTGGTTGGTTTTTACTTAACTTTGACCTTCTTGAATATAAAACATACGAGTTACAAAGAACTCACTCATGCATTAAAAATAATGCAAAAAATTCACAAAGTTAAGTTATGTTATTAACTTGACAACTTTATATACATCTTTGACTTATATCAATTTCCATTGATTTACAATTTTCCTTATTTTGACTTATTTTTAGAAATTAATCTAGATATTGTTTGATCATAATAAGATCATTTTGAATCCATGAAATTAATTATAGAATTTAATTACATCATCGAAATCAACATTTGACCTAACCTTGGTCAAATAATCATGACTTTTCATATAATGACATCTATTTCCCCTCATATACCTTATACTTATATTAGGGTCCTATTAGACTTGTCTGGCATGAATTGTATCCTTGCATATCTTGTCATCTTAATTTCATGATCAATGAACCATTACTTGACATTACTTGTCACAAGTTCCTTGAACACAACTACTTTTTTTTTTGGTAATATGAAGGGGTAAAAAACCCCAAACACAAACTCAATTCAAAAATACCCTACGAGGACTACAAACCAAAGAGAAATCAACCAAATACAATGGCAAAATACCAGGATGAGGGAAATGAAAAGCAATAAAATTATTCTCCAATCTATTATTCAACGGATATTTCGACAGCCAGTCTGCACATGCATTACTCTCCCTGAACACATGAACCAAATGAATCTCCCAATCCCTTTGTAACCATGCTCGAATATGAGACACCAAGCGGACTCTCGAGCTGTTCCTCCACTTTTGGTGAGCAAAGTGATCACTGAACTAGCATCACTTTTCAACAAACAACGCCTCCAACCCCCAGCCCAAGCCATTTCAAGACCTTTGAGTACTCCCCAAAGCTCAACTACAAACGTTGAACAATGTCCTATGTGATACGCAAATCCTTGAAGCCATCTTCCAGTCTCATCCCTAATCAGTCCCCCACAAGCAGCATCTCCTTCAGAAATTTTGGCTGCCCCATCTGTATTGATTTTAACCCAACCAGCTTCCGGAGAATGCCAACCAGCAGTAATATAAACTGAGATCCTCCTAACCTGACCATCATGGCTATGCATCCAAGCATGGGAGATTTCATTAACTTTCTGTTCTATCATATGAATTTTATAAGCCAGCCAATTGTCCTCAGCTCCATGAACCACCTCATTTCTCCAACTCCAAGCGCAAGAAACAGTGACAACAAACACTATCGGCCAGTGGGTATTAAACTGCTTCAAATCTGCATTATTCAAGTTCATCTTCAACTAGCTGCATAAATCTGCACTAAAAAACTCCATATACATATCTGGGTTAGTTAAATCCAGCCACACTCTCTTAATTTTGTTACAATCTCTAACCATATGAATAATGGTTTCTTCCTCAATTTGACAAAGAGGACAAATTGGATTAGACATACTAAATCTGGCCAGCATACTTCTTATTGGTAAACGTTGATGAGCTCATTTCCAAAGAAGAACACTGATCAAGTTAGGTATTTTTAATTTCCAAATGACACACCAGATTCCATTATCAATACACTCTTCATCATCCTGGTTAGTTAAGGCACTATATAAATGCTTAACCGAAATCCCACTTGAGCCTTTAATATTCCACCTTAGTCTATCAGCCCCACTACTCACCTGAGGAGGTAATAACCCTCTTATAGACTGGACAACACTTTCTAGAAGGAGATTAAATAGAACCCCACAGTTCCAAGAACCATCAGAATTAACATAATCCCTAACTTTTCTTCCAATTTCTTCATGAGGAATAACAGAGATCACTTTACTGGCTAAGTTAGTATCATGATCTACCCATTTGTCTTCCCAAAAATCAATTGATGAACTATCACCAACATCCCAAGTCAGCCTAGGCTTCAGCTTATTCCAGATTTCATACAAGGCTTTCCAGAGGCTAGAATTCCCATTCTTCCAGAAGAAATTTTCTTGATTATTACTCACACTTCCATACTTAGCTTTCAAAACCTTTACCCACAGCTTATCATAATCATTAAGAAAGCTCCAAACAATTTTTCCCATAAAAGCTTCATTCATCACAGAAAGCTTTCTAATACCCAAACCACCCTGATTTTTCGGCCTTGCAATAGAATCCCAACCAATGAGATGCATATGCTTTTTGTTGACTGTATCACCCAAATGAAAGCTCTCTGAAGCTTCTCCAGCTCGTTGCAAATACCCTCGGGATCATGCTATATTGCATGTGATAGTAGGGCAAGGCAGACAGAACAAATTGTGAGAGGACTATTCTGCCTGCTTGGGAAAGAGATTGAGATTGCCAATTGCTCAATCTCTCTTTAGCTCTCTCCACTATACCAGCAAAGGAATTCTTGGTAACTCTTCCATGCTACATCATAGCCCCAAGGTACCTACCAATGTTTGACACCCTTTTTAAACCACTCACCTCTAAAATCTTACTTGTTGTATCAGTAGGAGTATTTTTAGAGAAATAAACACTAGTTTTTTGATCACTCACTTTTTGTCCAGAAACTTCTCCAAACAGATTTAAACAACGAAGAAGGATATGAATTTGCTCCTCACTAGCTACCAAGAAAAGCATTAAATCATCCGAAAATAGTAAATGAGAGATTTTAGGTTCCCCCTTACCTGCCTTGATAGGTTTCCACAAACCTCCACTAACAGCAGTTTGAATAATATGGGAAAGCTTCTCCATAGCTAAAACAAACAGATATAGGGACATTGGATTTCCTTGTCTGACCCCTCTTCTAGGCTTGAATTCCTCTGTCATATCCCCATTCCACAATATGCTAGTTTTAGGAGAAGATACAATAGCCATAATTAACTCAGTTAGATTCCTAGGAATCTGAATCTCTTTTAACACATTATGAATAAAATTCCAGTTGAGAAGATCATAAGTCTTCTCCAAATCCACTTTGACTGCCATAAAATATTTCTTACCCCTCATTTTTCTCATAGAATGAACCAACTCTTAGACCACAATAATATTATCCTGAATATGACGATGAGGAATAAAACTAGATTGAGCAGGAGATACCACCTTTGCCATTATTGATTTAAGTCGGCCGAGAATAAGTTTACTAACAATCTTATACACTACTTGGCAAAGCGAAATCGGTCTAAATTGGCTGATATGAGCTGGAGATTGAACCTTAGGAATGAGCACCAGAAGTGTCGAATTAATAGAAGCCAGAATGTTAGGATAGTTCCACATCTGATAGATGAGAGAATAATTTCCAATATATATATGTCTTATAAAATTTTAATTTTTATAATTTTTTTAGCTTTATTTAAATTTAGGAAAATATGTTTCTTATGTAGCATAAGACATCCTTAGTGGATCTCATTCACTTTTTTATATGTTGTGTGGTACAATTTTATCTCATTCACTTTTTTATATGTTGCATGATACAATTTTATCTAATATAAACACGGGTTTACTTCTCTACAGTCAATATGGATAACTTATCTACATTAAGCCCAAAATGACGTCGTTTTGAAACGGAAATCAATGTATTTTTATAATTATAATTTATTTCAGTGTTATAATAATCTTTTTTATTATATTTTTTAACTCAAAACGACGTTATTTTGGGAGTGAACGTAGATAAATTATCTACCTTAAATATAGAAACATTAAAACCTATAAACATATTCCCCTTAAATTTATGGTATTAATGCAAGAGATCATTGTTTCTTATGTTGTAGGCGATAACTTTATTTCCTACATATACATATAAGTGTATTATGTGAAGAGAAAAAAAAAATATGGACTCCACGCACTTTCACATAGGAGATAAAAATTAGAGTAAAATATTTTTTAGGTCCTCAACAAATATCAAGGGGCCTAATTTAAAATAGAATAAATATCATTTTTGGTCCTCAGCAAATTTCACGATACCCGCTTTAGTCCCTAGCAAATAAAAAGGCTCGTCGTGGTACCTAAAAATTCAAAATGGACCCATTTTAGTCCTTTTAGGGACTAATATGGGTCTTTTTTGAATTTATGAGGACCACGATTTCAACTGAATGGGTCCATTTTAAATTTTTTAAGAACTACGATGGGCCTTTTAATTTGCTAGGGACTAAAACGGACATCGTGAAATTTGCTGAGGACCAAAAAGGGTATTTTACTCTTTAAAATAATATCGAATCGTAATTCCTCTGAAATTTAAAATAGATCTATGTTAGTCCTTTTGAAGGACTAATGTAGGTCTTCTTCGAATTTAAGAACCATAATTTCGACTAATTGAATCTATTTTAAATTTTATAAAAAAACATAAATTAATTTTATTTTTAAGGAATTAAAATGAAGGATATATGTTTAAAAGGATAGATATTTTTTCCTAAAATGAGTTATGTATTTTTTGTTTAAAATTCAAAAGTTACTTTTGTGCTAAAAATTATCTCATCTTGACAAACAATAATCCCATATTCCCATTAATGCAATTTACGAAATAGTTCTAATTGTTTTATTGATTTGTTATTCATCCGTCTTGACCTGCACGCCACTCCAGTGCAGACAACTGATCCACCACCTTGTTTGGGGGGAAAGAAAATCAACACATTTTCTCGGGAAAATTCCGGCTCAAGCAAAAGGGACTGTGATAAAATAGAAGATATCTATGGCAGGGGCAGAAGGTTTCGTTGAAGCAGATAATGCAGAGGCCATTATTACCAGAATTGAACACAAATCCCGCAAGATCGAAAGCTTACTCAAACAGTATAAATACCCTCTTCCTTCATTTCTCTCTCTTTCTTCTCTTTATTATGTATTGGAAGCACAAAACTCATTTGTTTTGTGATGAATAGAATGCTAAATTAAGAAGAAAAAAATGATTGTGTTTGATGGAATTTCAGGTATAAACCCGTGGAAGCCCTTAAAACTGCCCTTGAAGGCACGTATGCCATGACTGGTGATGAGCGTTGCAAGGTCTTCTGTCTATTTTTCCTGTCTATATATATATAGTGTTATTTTTTGCCTGTATTTGATTTGGGTTTTTGGGAATTGAAACATTTTTTTTTTCTTTTCTGTAAGCTATTTTCAACTTGCGAAAAACACGAGTTTTTTTTTTTTTTTTTCTATTTTGGTTACTTTAGAGTTTTGATTGAAGATTTCTGATTTTTTTGAAATCACGACATATTTTTCATGTATCTTGGTTTTTTCTTTTTCCTTTTTTTATATATTTAAGAGTCTTCATACTTTAATATTTGTGCTTACATTTGGTTTGGGTTGTTGGGGAACAATAATAGTGCTTTTCTTTCATAATTTTGTAAAGCTAATTTCAACTAGCAAATTCTAGCCATTTTTTGTGACCCTTAGAGTTGTTACAATTGAAGATTTCTAATTTGTTGAAATCACAACATATTTTTCATTTATAATTTTGCAGTCGGCACATTGGATTGTGGTGCATAGAACTATAATGGCTATAAAAGATGTGGATGGAATGCTTTCTTCCTTGGATCCTGAGTACTATGATATCCTAATGAAGTGAGTGGTGAAGTGTCTTGTTTGAATTCATTTTTACAAATTTTAACTGGATAGCTTCTCATTCTTTTAGAATACATATTTGCTTGGATGTGATGGTAAAATTCTCAGGTTTGTAGTTAATGATCAGTGTAGTTTGGGTTCCCTTCATTCCACCTATACAAACATAAGGCACAAGTGTTTTCAAGTTTTCCTTTGCTTGTCCAATCTTGATATGCATTGCAAATAAAAATTTGAACTGGGAAGAATAACTTATGCATTACAATGGGCTTATTAAAATGTGAAAACTATATCTCTTACTTTCGCCTTTTCATGCGGTAGTTGGAACCAGGTATATTATATGATATTACAGTTACACTTTCTAGCATGATATGTGCTGCAGTGGAACAATTAAAGCTAGAAATCAAAATATAGAACTGTAATAAATAAATATAGATAATTAGATTGTATATTTTTCAGAAATGGAATGATAATTTGTTGGCAAACTCATAACGTAGATGTGAATAACATTCTAAGGAATGTTGATATAGTGTGGGAATTTAATGCGTTATTAAATTAGGAGGGAAAAGACAGTATCTTAATCTTCACTTCTGTAACAATTCAACATTTGTTTTTGTTCTGAATACCCATGGTGTGTCTTTGTCCAAATTTTTTAGAAGCTCTCTGACGTTCATATGTTTTTTAGACAAAAGAAACTTCATGTAATTCTAATATTGAACATTGTTACGAATCTGTTACAAGCAGAAGTTCAAGAAGGGTAAGGATGCATGAAGACGTAGCCATGATGCATGAAGCATAGTGATGCATACTTTTGTGTAGGTTCCATTGGTGTTCAGTTGGTATAGTTGTGGTAGTTGGATATAGTTTGTTGGTGTTCAGGTTGTATAGTGTGGTAGTTGGGATATAGTTAGGAGGTAATAGCAGTTAGTAGAGTTCTTATGAGGAAGTTATAGCAGTTAGCTTTCACAAGAGTGAGTCAGTGGAGGTTCGCTAGGTTAAATAGGGTTTGTATGTACTGTAATCGTATGCATGGAATATGAGTCTTTCAGCTTTTTTTTCATTTTCCCCCTTTCCCTTATCTCTTTGAGAGTTTTTGAACTCAGTTCCTATCAGAATCAAATGTAGAGAAACACTTGATAGAATGAGAACTGGTATATTATTGATATAAAGCTGATATCCCGTTCATATCAGATTGTTTGAAATAGATTATAGTGATAGAAGAATGACAAAAATGAAGGAAAGATAGCCTAGAGCATTCAAGAGGCTCTAGTTACAATCTTTTGCTGCTTTCCCACACTATTCCACGGGTGTATAGGTTACTCCTATGTAGAATATTTTGAACCTGGCCTGGCCTATTAGTTCGTTGCTGGCTAAATTATAGGTCTACTCGATTTGTAAAAAGTAAAAGGCTTGGCAGGGCTTATTATGAGTCTATCAAGCCTTTTAGGTCTATCAAGAATTAGTAAAAATAACTAAAATAATAATTTTATTCTATAAAATTATTCAAATAATTATTTTATTTTATTTAAAATAAATAATATGACAGGCAAGCCTACATGCTTATAGGATAGGCCTATGGCCCATTTTTAAATAATTTTTTTAGGCCAAAGTCTTTTTTTGTTAGCGAACATACTAGGTCAAGTCAGGCCTAATGTAGGCTCATAATAGAATGCTTGGCCTATTTATACCCAATCGAATTTTCCCTCTTTTAATTCCTCCCTGAGTCTCTCTGTCTCCCTACCTAATTTCTCACTTATGCCCATTAATTTCCCACTCATGCTTATTAATTTCCCACTTATGCTTCAACACTACTTTATGGTGTGATTCCCTGTTATGCTTCCTATGATAAACCTGAGTTATAGGTGGTTTCCTAACAATACTCTTCCCAAAAATCTGACACCTTGTCCTCAAGGTTAAAAGAAGGGAAATGCTCCTTCTTGATGGTGGCAGCTGATTCCCACAGATTCTCAAAATCAGGGAGGCCTTGCCATTTGATTAGCACTTCATGTAACCTTGTAGGAGTTACATGTGAATTAAGTGCAGCCTCAGGTTGTACTTGCAGTTCCCAGTCCTTAGAAAGCATTGGGGGAATATCTTGAGGTTTAGTCAAGCGTGTTATAGCCTTCTCAAGCAAAGAAACATGAAAAGTAGGATGTATGCAACAAGTAGGGGACAACTCCAACTTATAGGCAATTTGTCCCACCCTTTCAAGTTCGTTGTAACGCCATAGAATTGCTGACTGAGCTTTTCATCCACTCAATTGGCTAGGGATTTCAGGGGATAAGGCTAAATTTTGAGGAAAACCAAGTCTCTAGACTCAAACTCCAACTCTCTTTCGTGTTGATTAGCTTGAATTGTCATACAGTTATGAGCTTGGCAGAGATTTTTCTGAAGTTCATGTAGAATTTTGTCGCTCTCTAGACTCAACTCCAATTCTCTTTTGTGTTGATTAGCTTGAATTGTCATACAGTCATGAGCTTGGCAGAGATTTTCCTTAAGTTCATGTAGAATTTTGTGTCTCTGACAGAAGTTGATCTACTTCTAGAGAGTAGAGACAGACCATTATGAATTATATTACCTTGCCATTATGGAGGGAAAGCTTCCCAAGTAGATAGTGCTTAAATCTCTCTATTTGCTTGAAGAAATCTTACATGATATTTATATGCATGCAATACCTCATCCTGTTTGTCCTTTTCATGCTCCGGGGAGAATGTAAAGGGGGGGCAGTCTCATGAGGTAATAAATGGCCAAAAATTACTAAAAAGATTAGAGAAACGAGGTCAAAAGAACCCTTATTGTTTGGTTGTATCAACTTTAAGACTTTGTGCTGAGGAATCAGAATAAGCTAATCATAGTTGAACATTCCAAACTTGAATTATATTCTAGAATAGTAGACATATGCCCACCAGAAAGAAATATGCATGTTTTACATTCCAGATCGTACTTGAGTTTAAACTTAGCTACTTTTTAAGATTCAACCGGTATATTTTAGACCTGAGACCTCTATAATATTGAACGGGATGGACCAGTGTGACGAGGTCTATGTTGTGCCATTGCCTGCTCTTAGTCAGAGTGTTAAAACTTTGCTAGTAAAGTGATGAAAATTTTATTTTGATTTGCATAGTCTGGAGTAATTGTAAGTTTACAATCCAGTAAGTACACTCTTTCAAATATTGCTAGAGACAGTAGACAATAAGGAAAAAAATAATAATTTTATTTAATTATATGATGGCCTGACAATTTATATTTTGAAATCTGACTTTTAAACGTGACTCTAGAGTTGTGATTTGTTTGAACAAAATTTGTAAATGTTATATGAAAGTAGGAACTCTCTGTAACTGATGGGTCTCTGATTGATTTGAAATTGCAATTTTCTCTTTACTTTGTAGTTGTAGGAATTTGGATTTTTAAGGAAGTTAAATATAGACATTAAATGAGGATTATTTTAAATAATACTATAGTTACTATAGTAGATAATCAATGATATTTAAGGTCTAATTCTTTCACCACCAGTTTCTGTCCTAAGAGGTTGGTATTCATCATAGGTACTTATATAGAGGCTTAGCTACTGGAGATCGTCCCACATGCGACCAATGTCTCCGGATTCATGAAAAATTGACACAGAGAGCAGGACTGGGTTGCATTCTACGTTTCCTGACTGATACTGTAAACACTGTTTGATTTCTGGACCACCTTTTTACTTGTTCTTTTCCTTTATTGTTTTTAGTTCTCTTGTATGTCCTTGCAAGACTACAGCAATCAATGTAGTGAAATATCAGGGAAATATATTAATATTGAATTTTGGAGTCACTTCTCTTGTTTTACTTTTGAAATTGTTTACAATTCAAAGGGTGATGATTTTTAACTTTTCAGGACTTTTGAGAAATCTGAAATATCTAATGCATTTTGAGGAGCTTGTAACCTCATAATTTGCCTCCAGAATTCTCACAACTACGGACAAGCTCTTAATGTGAGATTTAATGAAAATTGAGGTTGAAGTTCAGCCTTTCAGGTTCCTAATTGCTTTGAGTTAAGGATCATTAAAACTATCTTAAGCATAAATATCATTGGAATTAAAAATAAAATAAAAAAAATCTTTTGTCTGCTGGCCTTTGACCTGTAATGATTTGAATTGATTTTGGAGAAATTATGTTTTTGAGTGTAATAAATTCAGCGAAATAGAATTTGATATGTGGTATAGAAATTAAATCTAAAAACTAAAAAAGTATTAGAAAAATGAAGTATGTTCTTTGGCCGTTGCTTACAATTCTTGCTGAAAAAAGGTATGAACATTTTTTTTTATTTTTTGTCGTAAACTCGTTGAGAATTTTTTAGAAATTATACCTTCTTTACTACTACTTTTAGCTCAGAGTTGTAGATTTTTTTATTTTGAAAACGTAAATGGTAAATTCTATGTAAGTTATTTTAAGAAAAGTTACAATTATTTAAAAAAGTTGTAACTACGTGAAATGTAAATGTTCCTATATTAGCTTACGCACAAGACTTGCAGGCTGAGAATATCACTCAACAGCTATAGCCTCTTCTGCCGCTGCCAACTATCATTTCCTATTTTGTGTTGTACATCAATTCACTCGTGGATGCAAGAATTATATTCATAAAAGTGAAAGTGAAATTGAAACGATCAGAAATAAAGACAAAAAGAAATGAAAAATTAGTTCAAGGGTTGTTACTTCTTGTCTTGATCAAATCAATCACGGCACGAGCAATATAGGCAAATTCTTTATATATAAATTTGGTAATGAAAACTCAATTTAAAAATATGAACTAAAAAATAGAATCAATATTTAGAAAAGTGACACCTAGACAGGATTGGCCAATGTTCCAAAATTGGCCAATGTTCCAAAATGCAAAATGTAATTATGGGCATGGCCCATGTTACCTTTCATTGTGTTTGTTACTTCCCTTTGAAACTTGAACTTTCAAAAGCATGTGATGCAATTACTGTCACTAGTGCGTAACCACATCTACATTTGTTCACTTATCGTATTGGAAGCAGCCAAAGTTGAGTCCCACAATCTGACTCACCCAACCCCATGTTAAAGTTTATAGACCAAAATTAATGGGAACCATGAAAAAGAAAGATAGACAATTATTTCTAATTGAGACCAAAGTCATCCCTTTATGGGAATCCCCTTAATTTGTCTCCCTCTCCAATCTTGCACAAAACCCCACCTTTTCTTAGCAAGTGGCATAACAAATCCTATGATAAAAATAAAAACATAAAACAGATTCGGATTCCCTCTTTCATCTTTTCAAGGCTAACAAAACTAATCAGCATATGAAAACACAACCTACTTTAACATGTCCGCACTTTACAGATCCTAAAGTTGACTAAAACATGTTCTACGTAGGCCCAAAATCAAATAAGCCTACACTGAAGAGTTAACCAAAGTCATAGCCTTAAGTGCTAGTAAACCAACACTTACAAAGATTCCTTTTGCATTTGATTCATTTCTGTCTAGCAACTAAAATGTCCTTGTTTTCCAACATGAACTTTACCATGACGAGGAGTGAACAAAAATTATGGCCGGATCCGGTGTTGGATTGACATTGCCGCCCAAGGGTTGACCGGCACCGGCCGCTGGATGTTAGGGCCTAAAGGGTTGCGATTAGCCGGAGACGGGGCAGGGGGTATGGTGGTTGATGAGGAGGAGGATGCAGATGAGACAGCAACACGCTCACATGAAGGGCACATTGTAAGAGTTGTGGGAGGGTTCATGTGCATGTAGAGCTGTGGGGATAATTTCAATGCCCTAAGCTCTTGTACTTCCTTTTGCAACCTCCTATTCTCTTCAGTTAAATTCTCGCAGCATCTCTTCAAGTATTCACAATCCACTTCAGTCTGCTTCAACTTGGTCCTGCATTTATTGAACCAAAATCATTGACATCACTTTCTTCCATAACATGGAAGATAAAGTAACACACCACACGCGCGCACATACACACACAACAAAGCCACATCCATCTTTGTTGCACTTGACCCATTAGTTTATCAGTTTTGCCACCGTAATGCTAGAAATTTAAGTACTAATGAATGGTATAAAAATTCTAAAGATTCCAAAGTTTCAAATTTTGACCTCCAAATCCATCATCACTAACTAACTACATGTTACATTTTTTGTGCCTGTTAGTGGGCCCCAGCTAATCACAAATAGCTTCTTTTTTTTTAATCTAAATCATCTAAAACTTTTTATCTTTTGTGTCATAAAAGTTGTGCTATTGATGATTCTCACATGGGTCAAATCCCATTATTGATGTTGGAGTTATGCTTGAAGTTGCTCTGAAGAAGAATAACATTGATGAGAACATCAAAGCCATTTAAAATAGATCCAAACAAAGTAGGGTATGTCACAGAAAATTAAGTAAAGGGACAATAAACAATGCCACAACACAAAATATTTATTATATAATTTAATACTCTATAGTTCATATATACAATTTCAATAATGCCCCTTAGAAGAACATAGACATATATAAAAAAAAAAAAAAAAAAAAACCTCACCTTGCTCTTCTGTTTTGGAACCACACCTCAACTTGTCTTGGCCTCAGATTCAATTGCTTTGCCAATGCTTGCTTTTGTTTCTACAAATTACAATAATAATATTCCAAATGCCAACATTGTATTATAGTTCAAAAAAATAACATTTACAAAACATACGTAAACATTGAATTATAGTAAAAAATAAAATAAAGGTAATAAAAAAAGGGAAAAAAAATTCCGATGTTACTTTACATAACTTTATCTAATGTTCATCGAAACGACGTCATTTTGGGTTGAAAAATTAAAAAATTAGAGTGATAAAGACTATTATATCCTTAAAATAAATTAAAATTACAAAAATACCATGATTTCTGTCTCAAAACGACGTCGTTTTAATGAAAATTAAATAAAATTATCTAAAGTAACGGTTAGTAAAAACAAACCCATAAAAAAATACATAATTTAAGAATAGAAGACAACCTCAAAATAAGCAAATATGAAATCCCAAATATGCCCTTAACCCGCAACAAAATTACAGAAATGCCACTACCACTCACCGGATTCAGAGTGTTGTGTTCCTTGAAAGCTTCTTCAAGCAACATGGACTGTTCCTTCGACAACCTCAACTTCTTCCTTGAAGTGTCTCCGTCGCCGTCGCCGCCGCATCCTCCGCCTTCGTCGTCGTCGCTTCCGCCTAGAGAACAGGAGGCCCTCTCGGCAGCGTCGTTCTCGTCTCCATTACCTTCTCTCTCGCTCCTCTTCCCGCTGATACTCGATATGGTGCTGTTCGGCGACGAAACCCCATTCTCGTCGTCGCACGCAGTCGCCACCGCCGCCGTCAACGGCGGCGCTGAGTTCACGTCTATTCCACGGAGGAACGACCTCGTCTCGGAGCTCCGATCTGCAGCGTGAGGCGCACGTGAGTTTGTTAGTGGCAGTCGTGTAATTAACAACGACATTGAAGGGTATTTCTATACAAACAATGCTTTGTTTCATACATATAAAAAAATAGAAAAAATAACACATAAAAAAAAAATTGTGTTCTTCGTTGCATGATTTTGCATCTAATCATCGACAAAGGTTACCATTTTGCAAACGAAAAAAAAAATTGCGAAATGGGGTTTTAGTTTTAACCAAATATTTATGAAAAAATGATTTTTTTTTTAATTTTTTTTTTTTGGTATGAAGAATCTAAGAACCAAAAAATTGAATAAAAAAATAAAAAGAGAGTGTGTGTGTGTGACATGAAGAAACACAAACCATGAAAATGAAACAAGTTATTGAAGGAACCCCTTTGGTTTGGAACCGATTGAGGAGGCTTTTGCATGAGATTTGCCTTCAAAGGTGGTTGATTATTTGCATTTTCTCCACATCCCAAACTCAAACTCAAACCCAAACCCAAGCCATAATCTTTCTCACCCATTTTTCTCTCTCCCTCTAAGAAAGAAAATCAACAAAGCTTGTCTGGTTTGGAGTGTGGAAAAGTAGCAAAATGGTAATAAGAATGGTAGAACAGAAAATGGTGTGGGCTCTGTAGAGAACGATAAATGGGAAATGGTGGAGAGATGGGACTATATATAGATAGATACTATGGACTATGGAGAAGAGTAGTGAAAGGGAGAGATAGAAAAAGAGAGTGAGAGAATAGGTAGTAGAGTTAATGATGACTTGTGTCAGTGTGCCAATTTGGTTCAATCATCATACAAAATGGCTACTTTCCTAGGCTTTAAACTTTAGCTACATATGATAGCTTCAAAGTCCAAATCTAGTTACTTTTTAACCATGGTTAAGTTTGAAACCCCAAAGGCTTGTGTAGCATGGTTAAAGGGTTCTTTCTTTCTTTAATAAGTCTTTAATAATATTGTTTTGAACCATGTTAATTGTTAATAATGAGATGAAAAAAGTAATTATTATAAAACTCATTATTATTTGAGTAAATTGATTTTATTTTAATTTTTTTCCATTTTTGTGATGACACAACATGATTATATTACTTGTTTTTTTTTGTTTTTTTTGGTATAATATAATACTTATTTAACATGAGAAGATATTATCTTTAGTTGGATTTATTATTTATAAGGAAAAAAAATACTGTTAGAACATGTTTTTGCTTTCTATGCATACATGTACTTTTTGGAAAATTATAATTTCTCAATGAGTGGGGATATTTGGAACAAATTTTAATTTTTTTATTTATTTATCATTAATTTTTTTTTTGGGTGAACATTTATCATTAATATTTAATTCATCGTGTTCCTGTTTGTGTTCTGTTGAGAAAGGATAGCAGCTTTTTCGCTACTTGACTGTTGACTATATAAAAGAGAAGAAAATGGAGAGAGAAAGAGTGTGTGTGTGTGTTTGAGGTTCACGCGCTGGGAGTGGCACGCGCAGGGAATCATGTCCTCATCATGATCAAGATGATAAGAAAGATTTTCATGTGCCATCATTCAAGGTGGGTCCCCTGTGTGACATGGCGTTTCCACACATGCCAGGCGGGGCCCACTCATCTCTGGGTTTAAAAGAACGAGAGGTAAATTGGTAAATCACTGTAGAAATTTTTAATAATAATATTTACATAAATTTTATAAAGAAAAAATATTTATCTTTTTAAATAATAGTTATTTTAATTAAAATTAATATTTTTTATTCAAAATTTAAATTAAAAAAACTCACTATCTTCTCGTATAATTTCTATTTTATATATTTTCTTTAATTTAAAATGATATAATTTTATATTTTAAAATGACAAACATTAAATTTAACTTTTACTTATTGATTTTTTTTTCGTAAACAATTTTCCACTTTAATATAAACTAATTCAAAAATTAGAAAAATTTGTGTATAAAATATTTTATAAGAGATTTTCTCAAGTGTTTCTTTTAAAAAGATTATTTTAAATTATTTTACATATCATGTTATTTTTTTGGGTAAGTACATATCACATTATTTATAGTATTATAAATATTATTCAAATAAAAACCTAAAAAATCTATATGATACATATTAAATAATATAAAACATAAGCTTTTTCTTACTCCGGTCTATCTAAATCTCTTTAATAAAGTACCTTTTATTTGTATTATGCTACGAGAATAAGTAAAAATATTTAATGTTTAATGTATGAAAATTTAAGAAAAATGTTTTTATTTAATATTTACACAATTTTGATTATGTAAATGCTAATAAAAAAATGAGATAGTGTTTTGATATTTTCTAATTGAATTGTGACCGGTACTCACAGTACAACTTGATGTCTGGAGTGACTTTTTCATGTTTTATGGCATTGAAACAAGGGTTTTATAAGAGTTATATTATAGGAAAATGATTGTGTTATGTTATAAATATTCGTTTTGCGTGTCATAGCTTTCTTTTTTTCAAAACATGCGAATCTCACAAAATATTGTGTGTGTAGAAAAAATTTTGTGATCAAAATCCCTTAAAATAATGCCTATATATATGTGTTTAACCTTTGTGGTCCTCTAAGGAGGATATAATAATATTCATCTCATCCCAAATTGAATTAAGAAAAACAAAAATATTAAATAAAATATGAGATAGACATTTTATTTCATTTTATTTTAAATCATTCAAATAACGACAACTAATGTGTTTCATTTTATTTCCCTTTATTTTATTCTTTTTTATTAATTCAAATATGACCTTGTTTGAGGCATCCACAAAATTAGTAGTGGCATTACTATTTCTCATGTATTTAAAACTGTGAAAAAAAAATACCTTGCATTAGTTTTACCCATTTTGTATTAGAAATGGCAATGGGTAGAGCGACATTATGTTTTAGTAAATAGAAATAACAACGTTAGATGGTGCTTTTGCTTGCACGATATAAGATTCTAAAAATTTAATGTAATCAGTATAATGTTTCTTATTACGGCATCTAATCTTCTATTATATATAAATTCAATCTTCTATTATTTATAAATATTTTTTACATTTTATAGTACCTTTACTTCTTCTTCTTCTTTTATAAACTAGTACCTTTACTTTAATATAAGATATTTATATTTTCTCAACAACAACAAAATGTTAGGCACGCAAAGTCTTAAATGAAAGTATAGTAACTTCAATTCAATAGGTTACTTAAAACTTAAATTATTGCTTCATTTTTTATTAATATCTTTTCAAATCGGATAATAAACTTGTAATTTTATTGGCATTAGCTAAGTTTTTTATTTGAGTATGTTGTAAATGTAAAAAAAAAAAAACCGAGCTTCTTTTTTTTTCCCTTCACAAGTGCTTGCACTTCCATTTGACTAAAAAAAACTTATTTTCTATAATTTATAAAAATTTGCTTTGGATAAATGTTATAATTCGTAAGAAAAGTTAGAGAAATTGGTTGATGATTTTCAAGAAGATAATCGTCATTTCAATATTTACATTCAGAAAAAATCTCATGAAGAATTGCTTCCATTCCCTTAATCCGAATTAAATGGTAAGGATTGTTTCAGCTTATAGTTTAAAATTTTGGTAGAATGTTATAAAAAAAAAAAAAAAAAAATTTGGTAGAAGGAGTTTTACAATTTTGTGATTTTATCCAACTCGATCAGTCGGGTAATCAATGAACCGGTGTAAAAATCTTGAGAAAAAAATAAACGATTTTGATTTCCAATGAAAGAATCATTTCCCATATCCAAATATTTGCAACTAAAAAGAACGTTCTCTGAAATGCTCATCTTGAGATTGGTATTGATATTCATCAGAAGAGTCATTTTCTTAACTTCCAAATATTTACACAAAAAAATAATAATGGCTAGAAGGCATGACCCTAGCAAATTGACAAATCCATAGATATAAATGACTAGAATATCTTTATTTCCGTCACTTTTTATCTTTTTCTTTATCACTTTTTCAGGCTCGAAACATAGAGAATAATGCGAATCAAATTCTCTTTAAGATGTTGAGAAATAAGAGTATAGTTGACATCATCATGTATGATCGAATGACAATGATTGGGACTTTGCATGGAGTTCAAGTGTGCTCTCAACTGCATGCGTCCCTTCACACTTTTATCCACAAAATCTTTCACAGATCTTTTGAAGGGTTGCGGTCACATGCTTCATTGTTTCTTTCGTAAGGTATATATGGATATGGGCATACTCTCTCTTTTCAGTTTTCTAGTTTAAATTATCAATGGTTGTCGATGCTTACCCTGTCCATTTCCTTATCTTCTCATCCTTTTCATGTTTCTCAACTCTTTTCCTTCGGGGGCGTTTGGTAGAGGAGAAATTTTTTTTATCCGGAAATCACGATTTCCAGGAATATGATGGGAAAATGAATTTTCTAGGAATGTTATCAAAAAATTGTTTAGTAGACTAACATATTCTCGAGAATATTGGGTTAATTTTCTTGATACTATGTTTAGTTGTATTAAATTTTCCGTTGCCATAGAAATCCTAGAATACCACCTTTTGAATGGTATTCCTGGATGATTTTTAAAAAAAAATTTACACACAAAATAAAATCCCGGAAAGATCAGATTCCCGGGAAAATTTTAAAAAGCCTGTACCAAATGATGCATTCTTATTTACCCAACTAAGGAATCTCGGGAAAACAAAAAAAATCCTCCTACCAAACGGGCCCTTAGAGTACCTAGAAAAAGATAAAGAAAAAAATTCTCAGTTGGTATGATACTTTTATTAAATTCAAAGCACGTTATTAAACACTTATTATAAGTTAATTTAACAATAATCTATTTAATATAATTAATATTCATCAATGTAATAATTTCTTTAAGAAAAGCAAGTCATTTTTACAAAGTTATTAGTAAGGAAAAATATTGTTTTTTTAAAAGTAGATTTATTTTTCACCAAGATAACTTTACCTACATGGTTACTTATAAGACTAACCTCTTATCAGCACTAAGAGCCTCTCTCAATTAGGTGGATACGGTTCGATTAAAATGTTGAACCAATTTTAGTGGTTCGCTTCGGTTTAGTGAACCGAACTGATAATATTTTTTACGAATCAGTTTTGGTTTTGAATCATTTAGAAGGTAAAAAGTAAGGGAGGATATTTATACTTTTAAACATAAAGTTATGTCATTTTAAACAAGAGAAATATATAAATTAATAATTTTTTATTTAAAATTTAAATTAAAAAAAATCATCCACTTTCTTCTCCTATGATTTTCATTACTTGTGTCTTTCTCTCACTTAAAATAACACAATTTTATGTCCTTTAAAAGAATAAACATCAAACCCAAAAAATAAAATAAAATAAAAAACAAAAACGTCAAAAGAACATGATCAGAACCGGTTTTACAATTGGACTAACCATGTGATCTTCCTCTACACAAATGGCCTGGAACTGCCTCGAGTCAGAGCAGCCTGCAGTTGGAGCAGCTTTTAACCCATGGGCTTTCAATGGAACAAGGTGCGGAGTGTACCTGCAAGACACTCCGACGCTCAAGTCAGATTGGGTTCAAACAAATTTTTATTATATAGAAGAAAATATTTACCTTGAGTTAATACATTTGTTTTTAGAGTATGGAGATGTCCAACTTGGTGGGGAGAGGAGCAACTTGGTTGCAAGTTTGTGAGACGGTAAATCTTCCCTATTGGTTATTGTAGTGGCTGAAATAATCTTACAAAAGTGTCTTGGAGATAAAGTAAGCTTGAGAAGTTTGTAGAATGAGTAGC